GACAACCCCGTAACAATATGCGTTTTGTACTGCTGTTACACAGCACAAAACGCATAAAAACCAGATTAAGAAGAGGGTAGGTTAAGGGGTCACAAATCAAATCATGAGTTGCGACATAACGAGAAAACCGAGGTACTAGAGCACTGTAAAGTATGTAAAGGAAAACAAATCGTGGGGCAATCTCTATTTCATCCCTTAGCTGTAACACAGACGTGCAATTCTGTTGATTGCACCAACCAGAAGATATCAATTATTCGCTCATTTACCACGTTTCTGACGATGTCGACGATTTGTTGAGAAGGCGAAAAGCTGCCCAGACTGAAGTGAACAATCCTTTTGGATCATACGTATTCATTGGTAAACTACGTGCAATATGTGCATCCGTTGTGCATCCAATATGAAGCGATGAAGCAGTCCGATTGTTCTAAACGTAACGAAAAATGCCATGAAAACAATTTTCTATTGCTCGCAATGAGGATTTCTACAGGTTGACCTAACGTGGAATCCAAAATGCCTTCGCAGTGTTTCAAGCAACCCAGTAAAATCACTTATCTTCAAGTGGATGGTTTTCCTCGGTTGCACGAAAGCAGTTTAAAGGCGCTTTACAACTCAAGAAAAGCATCTTAGTACTTTTTTCCCTCTCGTCAATTCAGTCTCCACTTTTACAGCTGTTTTGACCTGTGCTGCACTGCCTAGTGATCAGCTTGCTTGCGATTTTGATGTTTCTTTCGATTCCTAAGAAATTATTACCAGCTAAACAAACAATTCTCCCTATGCGAACATCTAGTAAAGCTTCAGTTGTTTTGATACGTGCTCTAGCGCTGCACCGCAAAAACACATAAAGACAAATGAAATGAATTTTGCATGGCACGAAAAAAGGGAAGATAGAAGTATGATGTTAAGCAGTATTTCTTGAAAAAAAAAGTCAAAAAAAAAAAACAACTCAGTCATTTCGACTGTTCCATAGCATAAAAGGATAAGCTGGCGGAGCTAAACAGTAAAATCAAAGCCAATTTAATTTAGTATTTTAAAAAACATTGCAACTAACTTTAATTTGATCGTCAGCTAAACGCTTCACGAGCTCCTTGATCAAACCTTCCAGCCAAAATTTTACATCACTGCCGGTTTTCAACGCACTTGTTCCTGGGAAATTTTTGCTCACCGCAATTGAGATTTGCTTATCACGTGCTGTCACTTTTTCCTCATCGACACCTTTAATTTTGTTGTTAATATTAATAACAATTGTTTTTTTTTTAATTTTATTACTATAATTGTTATTACTACCCAGAAATTTTTCATTAAATACACACACGAATGCTCCATTTTTGGCAACAGAACTTCATTTTTTGGCATTTAAAAGAATTTAAACATAAAAAAACAGATCTGATGAGCTGGAAAAAAAGAATTTATGTAAGCAGCTCACCACGTGCAACATTAAAAATCCATGTGGCCTGTGCAGGAAAACATTCCGTAAGATTAAACATTGATATTTTAGATAATTCTCCCATCGTCTGTAATTTCATTAGTTTTTGAAATTTTTTTTAACCACTGAAGCTCAGCTTTATCAAATTTTAAATTACCACTGAAGTTCAGCGTTCATATTCACATTTTTGAGGTTTTATCCATCTGTCTCATGTTAGCAAGCAATGATTTCTTTTTTCATATCACTGCCAAAATTACTGGGAATACCAAAATAGCCCAGACAAACCCACAGCTGTAGAATATAATAAAGCAGTGAGGTCATGCGCAGCTTGTTAAAACAGCGATGAGGGAACAACATGTGAACAAAATATCAAAGTAAGCTAGTGATGTCCCGACTAGACACACATATAAT